CGACGAAACATTCCCAAGGCCGTACGAAGAGTCTTCTGGCGTATCATTACCTTCTATATCCTGGGATCCCTGGCTATCGGAATGCTGGTTCCTTACGACGATGAGAATCTGTTGAATGCTCAAAACTCAGATAAATCGAGCACTGCTGCCGCCTCCCCATGGGTTATCGCCATTAATCGTGCCAGCATCCCAGTCCTCCCTTCCATCATCAATGCTGTCATTTTAACATCCGCCTCCTCATCGGGCAATGCATTCTTGTATACCGGTAGTCGCTACCTCTATGCGTTGGCCCAGAACGGCCAAGCACCGAAATTCCTTCTCAAATGCACTAAATTGTGAGGGGACATTTGAACATCCGTAAAGTTGACTGTTTGTTGGGTGTTGCTAACCTTTATTGCCATATAGGGGTGTGCCGATTTACAGTGTTTTACTCACCGGATCTGTCGGGCTACTCACGTTCATGTCCACCAGCACCGGCGCCAACGATGTATTCCTCTGGTTCCAAAATCTGACCACAATCGCCTCGTTGTTCACCTGGTGTTCCATCTGTATCGCCTGCATTAAATTCCACCACGCAGTCGAAGCGCAGGGCGTTGATCGAAGTACAATGGCTTTCCGTGCCCCCTTCCAACCATATCCCGCATACTTCGCGCTCGCTTTCTTCGTTATTATTATCGTTTTCAATGGCTTCGATGCCTTTGCCCCCAAGTTCGAGTTCCAGAACTTCTTCACAGCATACGTTGGCATACCAATCTATTTCGGACTGTATCTATTCTGGAGAATCTTTAAAAAGACTAAGTTCGTCGACCCCGCGGAGGCGGATATTTGGTCAGGAAAAGCTGCTCTTGATGCTGTTGAGTGGCCCGCAGATAACCCGCGCAACACTATCGAGAAGATATGGTACTGGATTGCATAGATAGGGAATAAAGTGATTTGTGGAGGAAAACCCCCAGCAAGTCATTGTTCTTTTATTCCTGAATGTAGACGGGACATAGTTTATGCACCCATCATGCCTTTGCCGGCAAATCCCGTACTCAGGGGTGCATATTGACTCTTAATCTCCGCATATACTCATGTATATCTAATGCATTCCGCCTCCTTTGTTCGTCTTTCCCTTTCTCCATCCTCTTTCTAATTCAGTCAGCATTATCTTTTTAAGCACTCTGTCAGTGTATATATCCCATACCTTGTTTGAACCACCCATGTCCAACCACAAAGAATGATTCAATTCATCTCGTCCCATATGTACTATCTGATATTCCCAGCCCCTCATCTTCCGGGTGCGAGTTAAATCGACGTGGGATTCCCGGGTTGTACCATCCGAAGACAGGAAAGGAATATACATGTGCCATCCTCAAATAGGGACGCAAGATGCTTTCGACAACCATTCCTCATACCCAACTGGTGTGGCCAATGTTAATTGAGCATCCCATTGGAACCCCCGAACGATTTTCACGCAGGACGTAGATAAGAAGGCGAGGCTAGTGTCCCTTTGTAGGGTATAGTAGCTGCTAAAACAGAGAACGAGAGTCGATGATGTTTACTCTGTTATCAGATTGTCCTGGAAGGTTGCTGGAAAAGCGAGCAGGCAAAAGGGAAGGGAAAGTAAGGCGAAACGAGCGCCCTCCAACAATGATCTATATATATATATGCCGAGATTCCGTATAAAAACATGCGCTACAGGCCTGCGGCGGGGTCATACGTATTTGTCTCTTTAGTCCAAACTAGCGAGATCCACTGATCCCAACTGCTTTTTCCCTTGGCTTCCAGATCGGAACTTTCTTCTCAGAGATGTGTTTAGTTGATTAGAAATCTATGCTTTAAATTAAGTCTTCTACGGATGAGAACTTTTTTAAAAAAACAAAAGTTGACCTCCTCTCTCCGCCGTGGGGGTTATGAGACAACCCCTTAGGGCGTAGACGCTGGTCTTTTTAAGAATTCTCCGCTATCATGATTGGATTTAGGTTCAGAAGCTGAGGCCTTCTCATTTTTTCCCGTCTGACTTGAAACCTCTACTGACAATCAATTCGGAAATTCGGCTCGATGCGAGACTGGTGACCTGGGCGGAATATTCGTTGAGCGCTTCACCTACGCGGAACAGCGCGAAGTGAGGGATTGAAAGAGCGCTACGACAATTACAGTATGACTTGCACCGCGAAGTTATGCTGTATCAATCCGAGGTGTGAAGAGACTTTTTCATCTTCCTTGGAAACAGACGGAAAAGGAGACACATTAAATCTCAAGTAGTATATTGGAACGTAAAAGATTTATATCCATGAAACAGCTTCCGGGAAGGTACCAGTCGCCTGCTGCCGACGAGAGAGGATATGGGGATCGATACACTGGACCATGAATGTATGAACGGAACAGAATATGGACATCAGCGGCCAAGGAAAGAGAACTAAATCGAAAGGGCAAAGGAAATATTAGGACATGACCCGCCCCCTGTTCCATCTTAGGATGAAAAAGAGAAGTAAATGCACTGTACTTGTGAGAAATGGGCCCTCCTTAGAGGCTTGCCCAACCATCTTCCACGGGGTATATGCCAAAGAATACACATTGCAGAGATAGAAACGAAAAGGTAGAAAAGAAAACAAATCTGAAGAAAACGAAACTGAACCAGCAAACTCCATTCCCAGTTCCTGAACGCCATGCATGCTCCATACCACAATGTATATCATCTTGTCATCGCACTCGTAACGAAATCTGAGAAATCCCAAACCGAGCTGTGGGAAAAATACGAATTAATCCGCACCGGGAGGGAGATCCTTGAGAATTTCCCACCCATACTCTTCCTCCGGCTTCTCAGGCTCCATGCCCAAAGCATTGCGGTACGCACGAACCTCATTCTGTAAACCGGATATAATCCGAATGGGGACCTCTTCCTCCTCGCAGCGAAGCCGGTATGCGGTACGGATCATCTCGGAGCATCGCATTGCTTTGGCGTGCCAATTATCTCTGTCCAGGCGGCTCTCAAGGTGGGCGTCGCGCTCGGCCTGGAGGAGGTTGTTGTAGTGACGTTTCTGGGCGAGGTAGTGCATGTTATTGTTTTGGCAGTAGTGACGGATCTGCTCCACCATGATGCCGACGGCGGTTTCATATTCCCCAATCAGCTTGGTGTTTTCGACCTGTTCCCGCTTGAGGGCTTCAACGAGGGATTTTTCTCGTGCGAGCGAACGTTCGAGTTCTGCGATTCTGGCGGCTGTTTGGATTGATGGTTGATTGGTTAGATATATGGCAGTTGTAGTCGCGTTAATTATAAGAATAACCTACCTGTTACCTCTCCGTTGACCTGTTGCAGAGTTGGACTTGCACCCTCGGTCGCAGCACGTTTCTAGAAAAGAAAAAAAGCGAGGAATGATTAGTTTTAAATTGGTTCTCTTTGTGTCGCTGACGCCAACAAACTCATTGCAAGGGCAGAGACACCCACCATAATTTCTTCCGCGCTGTCAATAATGCCCTTCGTCATGTCGCGGTTATTCTTCAATACATCGCTGAGCTCCAGAACCATTTCGTAAAGATGATTGAGATCCATCTGGTGTCCGGCATTGACTGGCATTCCAACATGCATCGGGCCCATGGCCCCATTCTGAGTGGAGGGGGTGCCCGGACTTGGGCTCTGACGAGACATGCCCGCCATAATGGGGCCAGGCGAATTGAAGCTGTTGCCGTTATTATTGATATTGTTGGGATCGTAGAAGTGGGCGAAGGGGCCTGTACCGGCAGCAGAATTGGTTTTGTGAGAAGGGGGCTGGCCTGTGGTGCTGGGGCTGCTGGAGCTGCTGGTGATGTTGCTGGCCATTGACATGCTTGCAGAAGAAAACGCGAGATTAAGCTCCGTTAGCTCGTCGTCCTCGTCGGCGGCGTCGGGCGCTTTGTCCGCTGCTCCAGTTGCACCTCTGGGTGGAATGCCCAACACCTCAGCGCGAAACCGGACCAGGTCCTGTCCGGACACTAGCGACCGGGCTCGACGGTGTCGAGGGACAAACGCTTCTTGGCGATCAACCGACGTATTGGAGATTTCGACAGCACACGCGGCGCTGTCTCCTCTCTGTCTATTTGTTCTTGTTGTTCTAGTAGTTAGCGATTAATGGGCTTTTCGTGAATCGGCTATTATCCAGTTTATATTTTTTAACTTGACAACTTGGGGGAACTTGAGCCGCAGTTCAAGATTCCAAGCTCTATTTATTTGAGTGGCTGCTGACTAACCTGCGTTCTCGGCACTGTGATTCCTCCATGTCAACAATCACTGAGAGGGAAGAGCCTATATAACTAGAGGTTGTTCTTGGGTTGTGAGTAGTTGTTGAGGATAGATGTCAGGCAGTTAACAAGAATATCACTGAATATCACAGAAATAGAGGTGAAAAGGATTGAGGAATTGTTTACAACAGTGAGTTGGTATAGAGGCATGGCCCATGGCGACAATCTATGAGATCACCAGCCATTTCAGTGCAATAACAAAGACAGGATTCAACTTCACTTCTCTTTACTATTATTAGAGTGCGCTTTGAAAGAAATATATGACTCCCCTCTAAACAGACATACAAGTACACTCCCATTGAAGTCTGAGAGCTGTCCTGCAAGTTTAGTATAACTCCAGGCGACCCAAAATCGAAGGCCGCACATAATAATACCCTCTGTACATGTACTTACTGTAAATGAACCTGTCTATCCAGCATCGAATCCATCCATCTGCGACAATCCCACGACACAAACTTGAATGGGGATGTAGTGTTTGCTGCAATCTCACCGCCATACAGCGTGGAGAGCTAATCTTGTCCCCAAGATACGGTCGATGAAATAGGCTTGATCTGCCAGCCACTTGAACCTTAATTCAAGCAAACATTCTCGACTTCTCGCCAGCCGCAATATGGTTGTAAAATTCTTTCTCCATCCTTTCCCAATAATGAATGGTCCGTCATTGCAAAATTGAACTCGTATGATTTGAGCTTCGGAGTGCCCTCCCGCCGCCCCAAAACCCCCATTTGAAAGAAATCATGTCAAGTCATATCCAACACAGATGAAAGCTTTGTCTCAGGGTCATCCATCGGCTGGGAATTCCCTTCAAGCTCAACATTCCTACCCGCCCTACTAACCCGACTTGTAACCTTCGCAACAAGCATTCTCATCCTATCAATCTCCTGGCCCAGCGGACTATCTCTGGTAACCAGGTTTGGCTGGATGTTCATTTGAGGATCCTTGAACGGCTCCAAAAGTTCTGCAAGCTGTTTATACTGCGCAAGCCGTTCTTGCTGCTTTTTGCGCTGGTTGTCCAGTTCTAAAAGGCGCTGGTACAATTGTTCGTATCTGTCCACAAGGCTCCGTTAGGGATAATATGTAGATATTATGTTATGCGCGGAGGGTTGCTGATATCGAACCTGAGTTTATCGTCCTCATCAATGTCGGCATCTTCTCTCCATTGTTTTGGGAGTCGAGCGATACTCCTGTACTCTTGTCAGTTTTGGCGACATCCACCCCAATGGCATCCCTCATGGACATATGCTAGCAAGTTAAAGTCCACACCTCGAATTTGTCAAATCAGTACCCTTTTCTACGACAAGTCCTTGCGATACGTCCCCACCAGTCTCTGGATCAATTGAGTTCCAATAGAGACTTTCGATTTGCCGGGCAACGTGGTGGATAGCTTGCGACGGGAAGACTGCGCGGGTATGTTTTTTCAAGACAGCGTTTACTTACGATGCCAAAAATTAGCTGATTGGAAGAAAATACAAGGAAAATAAAATAAAATATGCCCCAAACCTGTTTCAGAGGGTGTACAGGATAAGTCATACATTTCTGCAATACGTCCTCTACCGTCTTATTGGGGATGTCATCTTCGCAAACAGGACCATAGTCGCGCCAGTCCTCGGATGGTGTGAGAGCTGCAGATAGAATGCGGATTTGATTTCTGACGAAGGATGATTTTATCTCTGTGATTGTTTTCGTGGAATCCATTTCTTATACGCGCAAAGGCAGCGGCAAAAGTATTGTTTCTAGTATTTATATGGAGATTCTATGCTTGATGCCTGTGCAATTGATATTGGGCGATGTCGATGGATAACTTTACACGTGACTAACCTGGCCTCCAATCTGATAAGATAAGCAGTTCGGCTTACAGTAGAGTAGTTACGGAGTAGTTCGCCCAAGAAGCATCTTCGATACCATGCATGATGCCCTAAAGGCTCGTGGGGGACGAAGTGAAGCCATATCGGGACATCTAATACAGTCATGGATTTATGATATCCAAAAATGCCTGAATTTCCTCAGAGAGATCGAGCAGATCGCAGACTGTCCCGTGGTCTACTCAGTTATTATTGCCATTAACCTCGGTAAAAACTTCACGCTTCCAGATCACAGCTCTGTTCCGGGACTCGGGGAACAGATTGGAATGATAATTGCCTTAAATACTCATTTATCTGCATCCATTCACATTCATTAAACCGACGTAACTTTCAGCATCACCGGCATTACGTTTTAAGATTCGAAGATGGCGGGTAACAAGCGACCACAGGGGATTCTATTCGACATTGGCGGCGTTTGTGTAGGGATCCCGCAAAATCCAACGACGACTTTGCACTTTATCTAACTACTTCTAGGTCGTCTCTCCCTTCCAAGCAATCCTAGACTATGAAATCGCAAACAATATTCCGATTGGCTGGGTAAATTACAGCATCCAACACACCTCTCCCAACGGTGCATGGCATAGAGTTGAGCGCGGGGAGGTGACGTTAGATGAGGTTTTCTTCCAAGAGTTCAACAGAGATTTCCAACACCAGCATCTATGGAAAGCATTCCATGCCCTGCAGCAGAGCAAGAATAAACAATCCTCCTCCTCATCCTCACAATCATCGCGCCTCCCACCCCTCCCCAAGGTCGATGCAAAGTACCTATTTTGGGAAATGATGCGAGTGGCCCGCAGCCCAGATCCATATATGTTCCCCGCTTTGCGGAAACTACAAGCATCGGGCCAGTTCATCCTGGGCGCGCTGTCGAATACGACAATCCTCCCCGCAGACAACCCAGCAGGCCCGCCGGTAGATGTGAAGCAGTTCTTCGATTTCTTCATCTCTAGCGCGCATGTTGGGATGCGGAAGCCGGATCCTAAGATCTATGCGCTGGCGTTGAAGGAGATGAATGATGCGGCGAAGAGGAAGGGGTTACCTCCCGTTGAGCCGGATGATATTGTGTTTTTGGATGATATTGGGATTAACCTGAAATTCGCGAAGAAGGCCGGGTTCCGGACTATCAAGGTTGACCTGGGTAAGTCGCAGGATGCTGTGAGGGAGTTGGAGAAGGTGACTGGTTTGCAGCTGTTGGAGGGTGATGGGAGAGCGAGATTATAAACGCGGGGAGATCGGTATTTTGGAGCAATTTGTTTGATTTTGTCTTTGGATAGACTGTTCATTACGAATGTAGACACAGATACTCTGTAACTAAGCCGGTGCTATTATGACTGCGGAGTCGGAGTTAGATATGATACCAATAGAGATTCATGCAAACGAGCTATTCCTTGTCAATTACCAATTCCGTATCCAACTAATTACAATATACAAATCCATTTGTTTTTTTTCATAATAATAATAACAATATCCCTTTTAAAATTACCTGATTGCATCTCGTGTATACTTTTTGGCGGCCCTCGTCGCCGACCCCAGTTCCGCCCTCAGCTTTGGGCTTGTCGCGCTAAGCGAACACACAAAACCAAATCCCACACAACCACGCTGGAAACGAATCTTTTCTCCTCGTCCCCGTCCAACTCGCCCAGCATCCAGGTTCAGTAGCAACTCGACGCACCAAACCTACCGGCAAGATGGTAAGTCCTGCTTCGCCAGAGCTGGCGTTTAAGAATCGCTGCTGCTCATTCCCTACCATTCCTTGAAAAAAAGATGAGCGAGACGAAGAAACAGAAATAAGGCGGGGAGAGTCTCTGCAAGATGCTTCGGAGGGAGGACAAATACATAAAAAATATTCTGAAGCGCAAATTGCTGACTCGGGGTTTGTCTTTCTTGGGAAATTCTAGCCTTTCACCAAGCTCGTCAAGAACAGCGCTTACTACAGGTGAGTTTCCATCTCTTTGCCCTCGCCACAATGCCGATTTTCCATCACCTTTTTACTCTAGCGTATGGAGAAAATGCAAGTCTTACTGACGACAAATCCCTTAATACAGCCGCTACCAAACCAAGTTCAAGCGCCGCCGGCAAGGAAAGACCGACTACTATGCTCGCAAGCGCCTGATCACCCAGGCCAAGAACAAGTACAATGCGCCCAAGTATCGTATGGTCGTCCGCTTCACCAACCGCGACATCATCACCCAGATTGTTACTGCCGAAATCACCGGTGACAAAGTCTTCGCATGTGCTTACTCCCACGAGCTCAAGCGCTACGGCATCGAGCACGGCCTGACCAACTGGTCTGCCGCCTATGCCACCGGCCTCCTCCTCGCCCGCCGCACGCTCAAGAAGCTCGGCCTCGATGAGGACTTCGTCGGCGTCGAGGAGCCCGAGGGTGAGTACAGCCTCACCGAAGCCGCTGAGACCGATGAGGGCACCCGCCGTCCCTTCAAGGTTGTTCTCGACGTCGGTCTCCACCGCACCTCAACCGGTGCCCGCGTCTTCGCAGCCATGAAGGGTGCGTCTGACGGCGGCATCCTGATCCCTCACTCCGAGAGCCGCTTCCCCGGCTACGATATCGAGACCAAGGAGCTGGACGCTGAGACTCTGCGCCGCTACATTTTCGGTGGCCACGTTGCTGAGTACATGGAGACGCTTGCCGATGACGACGAGGAGCGCTACAAGTCTCAGTTCCAGAAGTACATTGATGCCGAGATCGATGCTGGTGATCTCGAGGAGATCTATGCTGAGGCCCACAAGGCTATCCGTGCCGATCCGTTCAAGAAGGATGAGGATGCTGGATCCAAGAAGACCAAGGAGGAGTGGAAGGCTGAGAGCTTGAAGTATCGTACCAAGAAGCTTACTCGTGCTGAGAAGGAGGCTCGTGTACAGGAGAAGATCCGGGAGTTGGCATAGATGGGGTGTACCACATTTTTCTCTTTCACCTATCTCTGATTTGTTTCTTTTTAATGTGAAGGGATCTGGCAAAAAATCCTTTTACATACAACAAAGCAAGCGTCAGATTTGAAGAGCAAAAGCAACAAAAAGCAGAATGATATGACTTTTGGTAATGAATGAAGTGCTCAGAAACACCTTATGCTCAACCTTTTTTTTTATATGCTTTCTCATCCCCAACGGCAACACTTAGCTGGATGGACGGGTCATGATTTTAATTGGAGTGAACGGGCTGGGCTATGATGCTATTTTTCTTCCCTCTTTTGTACTCTGGGTTCATGGAGTTGCTTTAACTGCTACGAATGATATCAATGATTTTTTTTTCCCTTTTCCACTCCGAGCCAACCAAGAGAAAAATAAAAACACAAGAAGCCGAATCTTCATGTTCAGGGCTCCATGGCAAAGAGAAAGAAAAATGAATATCTCCAGCGCCCTGCTTCAAATCTGAAAATCCAAACCTCTTCATTCATCCTTCAGCCAATACCCCTATAACTTCTTCGGCCTTTTTTCCCCTTCATTCCACAATTTACCGAGCCAAGCTATCATCGTTTAAATTTCACAATCATTGAAACTGTGAACTCTGTAGAGCTAACAGCCCTCTGCCAACGGGACCGCACAAGGAAAATTAGGTCCTTTCCATCGCTCCTTGAAAATGCATTTACTATTGACGCTCTATTATTGCAATGCCATTCCAACAACCATGCTTTACACAAAGAGAAAACTGCACCCACGATCTGATTAACATCACAAAACCTGTAACATCACAGAACCTGACTGAAAACAGCTTTCTACATACCAGGAAATGAACAAAAAAGTTTAGAAGGAGAAAGATAGTGCTGCTGATTGATGCATACAAGTCAGCCAGTTTCCCCACCTTTGCGTACGCAGCGCAGTCCGGTTTTCAACGCCGTTTTAAGCCCATACGTCATTCACGTGACCCTCAGCTTACTCATAAACGTGCCTTTTGTGTTGGGGGTCCCGCGGTTGGTCGGCCCTTCTACCAGCAGTGCGCTGGTGGTGATTGAGCTCTTTTGCCCCAGTAGCCTACAGGTTATGAGACCGTTGAGCGTGAGCCCCGCTGTGGTCAACATGCATGGGTTTGATCCCAGAATGGACTTAAAAATTCCTAACAAATACCCTGGACATTTTAACAGTGCCAAGAGACATCCCAGGAGTGTGCCCTAGAAGTCCCATTAAGCCCTAGGACTGAGTGGTCCAGTCCATTATTAAAAAGGAGCCATTGTGGGGAGGCCACTGAAGGGAGCCACTGAGGGGAAGTATTGTACTCTGTGGTAGCTGGTCCGAGGGGGGGTGTTGGGGGTCCCGCGGTTGGTCGGCCCTTCTACCAGCAGTGCGCTGGTTTATCTCAGCAAGCTCAGACGCTTCTCCAGATATTCATTGCTGTTTTAACACTGGATTGATGATTATGTCATGAGCTAACCTCAAATAAGCAATAAGCTAACCCAAATAGTAAAATCAGGTCATGTGAGTGATGATATCTTGCGAAGCGTCTGAGAAGAAACGGTTCCTGATTGTTAGCAACACAGGAAGGATTTGCTCAGTACCCTGAGTATGGAAGAGAATTCCAACTCAACTTCATAGATTCATCATTTCTGTATCACCTTGGAACCTTAGAATAACAATGTTCTCGCGATGTATCTGATTTTTATATTCATATCTCAAGTTCTTAGAATAGAAGTATCACCTCAAAGTTGATCAGTGTGTTTTTGAACACAGGAATTTTGATCCAATTCCTCATACAAAAAAAAGCTCTTAGAAATTCTGAGATCAAAAAATATGATCATTTTCAAGAGTATACATCTATCTTAAATATAGATTTTTTTGAAATATTAAAGAAATATTTCTATTCTTCTTCTCTTTAGCTATAAGCTAAGGTGATTTTCAAATCTCAAAGATATGTGGGTATATAGTAATAGAAAGTCAAAGTTGAAGAATCTGAAAAATCCTTGTAAATCTCAGGAATCTCCATTGAAGATGGAATCATTTCTTCTCAGACCCTCTGGCGAGGATTGCTCTGAGCACATGACTTGTATCAAAAGTAGGTTAGTGTCATGCCGGATTAACTAGTTAATAATAATGCTGCAACCCGTTCAAACCGAGCCAGAGGTCTGAGCCCGCTGAGATAAGCGCTGGTGGTGATTGAGCTCTTTTGCCCCAGTAGCCTACATTTTGTTGGGGGTCCCGCGGTTGGTCGGCCCTTCTACCAGCAGGCGCTGGTGGTGATTGAGCTCTTTTGCCCCAGTAGCCTACACCTTTGTCCGATATCGACAACGAGTACTGTAATGAGCGTTCGGAGAGGCGTACAGCAGCTCTACATCAACTGAAGGCGGTTCTCAAAGAAAAGTTAGGCAGAGAGCAGGTGCCACCTCCATTTTGGGCCTTCTGTCAGGTCTCGGACGTATCCAGACTGCAAGAGATGGTCTTCATTGTGGAGCAGGCCCCCAACGCCAAAATAGCGCAGCTATGCCTGGAACCGACAATTAAGGATTGTGATTCGGCTATAGCCCGATGTTAGTTTTGCGCATCCTCATACTCATAGAGAAATTCCATTTCTAAACTAAATTCCCTTCAGGGCTACAAAACCTAAGTGCGATTAATACTACAAGCTCCGGTACAGATCGTTCAACAACGGCGAGCTTAATGTTTGTTAATCTTCATAGAGCTAGATTGGACTTTGCTAACGGGTTTGTTACAGTGCAAAAAGCGCGATCAGAACAAGTGCGTGCTTACTGGATGGGAGGAACCAGATGCTGCGCATATCTATCCACAGTGCCTTATAAAAGCATCTGGGCGCGAACCAAGAGCAGTTGAGAGATTCTGGGATATCCTTGGCTTCTTTTTGGGAGGAAGAACGTGTGGAGCAGTGGAAAAAGGAGATATTCAGTGACCCACAGAACTTGAAGGAACCAAATGATGGTTGCTTTAACATGATCAGCCTTGATAAGCATCCACACGCTCTCTGGGGAGCTGGTCGTTTTGCACTGCGACTCATCGAGATCTCTGCAGATCTCAAAGAACTAAAAGTTGAATTCCATTGGCAACCGAAATGAGACAGAAGAAAGTGATCTTCTTACAGAGCCAACAACGTCCGGGGTTTGTACAAGTATGGGGGACGAGGTTTGCCAGTCCCTACAGGTACCTACAAGGAAGATGGTGAACCGGAATACAGGCCTATCGCTTTAGGGGATGTGTTTTCTCTGACCACAGATGATCCTGACAAACTTCCACTGCCCAGCTGGCCCCTCCTTGAAATGCAGTGGCATTTACAGAGGATTGCAGGGATGAGTGGGGCCGCCGAAGCAAGCGAGGACTTGGACCACAATGTTGATGATGATGATGATGATGATAATGATGCAAAAGAGATAACCATACATGATCGTGACGCCACTGTACGGAGTGTTAGAGCCATTTCTGAGTGGCTACGGCTTCTACCAGAAAAAGAGCAATCTACATCCCACCCACGCCTGTCAATCCCCGTGTAGGAGCCCGGTTAGCTCCCGAATAGTGACCAAGAGAGAGAAGGCCAAGCGGGTGCTGGCCGGAGGTTATGGCTCATTACGCTGTAGAGCTAGCAAATGGAGGAGGGCGAATTTCGAGAGAAGGTTGCCACGACGGATATAGGAAGAATTGCTCCGGGTGGGAAAATAGAATTCATTCATATTGTCAGTTGATGTCCCGTTTCCCGCCACGGCGCCACGGCGCCACTGCATTTGCATTTGGAGTTTACGGACTTAGACCGTCTATTGCTTTCAAATCAAAGAATCTCTCCTTAGGAGTCTCCATCCGGCCTCCGTGAGGCCGTGTAGTTGTGTGCGTGCCTTGTGTCAGTCGAATGCTGCTGTGCAATAATACCTTTTTTTTTTTTTTTTTTTTTTTTTTTTTTTTTTTTTTTTTTTTCCAGCGCACCGCATACGAGCAACGCCCCCTAGATTTCTCTTCCGGCGGAAAAATATCGACATTGCAGCTCTATCAGTTATTACTGTTGGTTATTTCGCTAGGCGAGTCCACCTGTATGACGGCGAATTGCGGGCGCCAGAGCCAGTCTGACCCTGCAAGCTGAACGGATTATTTGCTCAGAATGGCTTGGCAACAACCTAACTGTTCCTGTCGTTCGACTGGGTTTTTTATCCCTTGTGTGTTCGGGAAAGGAACAAAAAACCAGGAGGCCAGCGGCGAAAAGGGTTGTATTGAACTAGGAACGATCCTTTCTCTTTAAAAAATAAAATAACCGTGGGGAAGAGGTTGAACCTCGGTCTTTTTTTGCTGCCAAATTGGGCTCTATATTTTGCCGTAATAAATTCAGCTGCGGGAGGACATGCATTGGAAATTCGCCTTGAGACAGCACTGTAAGGACTAGGAATGCACTGATGAATACCGCACTATTTTAATAATAATAAGCCTAACAATGTAGAAGCAGGAAGTCTGTAGGGCACTTATTAAGGTGATTAGGGGCGTTGCACTCATTCATTAGGGCTTTGAACAGGGTCTGGCGCGTCGCCGCCTGCTCATATCTGATGATGACGTCATTTGAGTTCCCCAGACTTCATCGATACATTCCATATTCGATACTGAGATACTTACAATGGAAGACCGATAGCTACCGCATCTCTCAAAGATATGGATCCAGACTGATACTAACCTATTGATGATTCTCTCCTCGCGTCCCCCTTTCCCACAGCTTTATGCGACTGAGCTTCTAGAGGCCTCCGGTTATCAGCTTTGCATCGTCAGGCTGGCAGTTTCAACCAAGATGTTTAATGGGGGTGGGGTGAGGTGAGGTCATTTGTAGGGCAGAAAGCCTGGTGTATTGTTTATAATCGCTAGATACACGATTTAGTTACAGATGGGTGATAGGAGTGTCTTGCTCAGAGGCTGGATTCCATCCATGTGAATCCCTTCGATGAGGCTTCAACCAATATCCCGCTACCACCCTATCATTTCCACGAGGCTCATTTCGTCTCCATCAGCCAGAGACTATAAGGCTATGGGAGAAATCCCCGAGCCAATGCCAGCGGTCAAATTGTCTTTATAACCCTTCCCTTTCTCGTAGCTACTCTTCGTAGATGATGAAAGAAGAGGAAGTGATGAGTGATGAGAGGACAGACACTGAACAGGTTCTTAGATGGTAGGTACTTGTAAGATTAGGACGCCAATCGCTCACTGGAGATATTATATCATCAATGTCATCCCCCGATTATAGTGTTGTGAAAACCTCTTGCAATATCATAAGTTTTACTACATGCAGTCGTATACGTCGATATCGACGTTGGGGGCAAAGCTATGCCCATGGTAGCTTAGAGCAGAGGCGCACGGGTACAAAAAGTTTGAAGATTACTGCAGCTTAGGAAATTTGAACAGGTTATATCAACCTGTATTCATGCATTTTCTCTGTGATCCATGATGAACCCAGTTGATTTCAGACTGAAAAAAAATGAAAAAAAAAAAAAAAATCCTGTGATATCCGCAAGTTTGTTTAAAGCTGTGGAATGACACCATAGAGTTAACTATATTTCATAGCTAAAAAAGGATGTAGACCGGGCAGTGGAATAAGAAATAGATGTGTCCCCAACTGATTTACCGAGCTTCTGACTTGAGCTAACGTTAGGAGCTTGGCAGTCTTTCCAATCAGGTTGTAACTATTGTTTTTTGTTTCTTGAAAGGATGTTTGTAGTCTTTTTGTTCAGGAGCATGTAACTACTCTGTACTCCGTACTGTGCATACTATGCTGCGTAGATACAAAGAAATTAGTGACGTACAGGATACATAGTTCTTGGCGACTGATCTTTTATTTCTCTTACAAAGACTGTATACTCTACTCCGTATACTAAAGTAAATTATCCCCCGGTAAGCTCTAAAATAAGCATTATTCATGTCATCAAGGATAACTTCAGATATTTAAGTTTTGAGCGTAACTTAAATACGAGAGAGCAGGGAGGGCACTTATTAGTGCGCTAAGTGGCTACACTGTCCCCTGCTGACAAAGAGACGTCTCGATAGTTAACTATGTATGGTATGTAGTTGCCATACCATACCATACCATACCCATACACATACACATTACATATTTAATATTACATACGCCCAGCCCAAGCCCGCATTCACCGCAACCAGAACCACAACACAACCACCACAAGGTTCTTGTTCTATATTCTTATTATCATTAGCGACCTCCATCATCACCATCACCTCGACTTATTGCACCCGCTCTATTGTCTCTTTCCGTTACAATCACTCCCCCGTTATGTCGTTTGTGCTCACCTACCTCATCCTCCTCTCGATGACGGAACCCGCGCAGCAGCGCGGCCTTTGAGTTCAATAGTTCGTTGTCCACTACTCCTCCGCTCGCTCCGCCCGCTCCGCCCGCTCCGCTTACCGGCCATATTTCTATAACATTCTTCTTTCATCTGTCACCTACTGTTCGCCTTCAACTAGCGCAGCAAGACCTTGCTACCCCCGCTCCCATACACGATATCTCCGTTCTTATGCTCCCTGTCGCACGCCAGCGTCGCCCCACTCCGTGCTCGTGTGAGCTTTTGCCCGGATTCTTGCCTGGAGCTCTTCCACTGCGCCCATTCCTGTGACACGCTGTAGGCTGCGATATCATTGTATACGGCCTCTTGTTACTATTAGTAATAGTAATAATACCTTCGGGGGACTTGCATTCTTTGCTTTGGGAAAGAAAGAGTTGCTGCGAATTGTCCAACCGTCTTTGCGAAATGGAAAAAGCTGACACTGTTGATGTGAGCTGGTTGCATCATTCTCAAAAAGGTACATCCTCTTCCTTCTCCGGAAACAGTGATATCGGTGAATTTGCTTGCTTTATAGACTGTCTTCTGTCTCGCCATCTTTTTTTACCTCATTCCATCATGTTGGGAGCTTGATAAAGGCTATAGAATTTACGTTGAATAACCCTAACTTGATTTACTATAGACAATCTTCTTCGAACCAAATCTGCGCCTTCAGTTCCCATAAATTCCTCACAACCGATAACTCCAGAGCCACCAGTACTTGCCAGTTCACTCCCAACAGAAAATTACGAACCCGCCAATGTCGTTTCGTCTACAGGTGTATCCAGGTCATTAACTCCTCCGGTGATGAACCCCCGGCAGCCACCGACACAGCAGAGGAAGGGGACCTTGAATGCGGTAGAGCAGAGTGAATCTACGCCTTCGCCGGCACCCTTGGCTACCAATGGGACCACAGGCAAATCATCCAGCGCAAAACAGCCTACGACCGGTCGGCGCAATTCATGGATCTCCAGTTTAAGCCAGAAATTATCTTCGAGCGGTTCGGTTTCTCCGACGCAAAGCAATGCGAAGGATGCCAATGCGAAGCAACCAGCTCAGAGTCCTCGAACAGAACTCCACAACCCATTTGGCGCATCTTTCTCTCCCAAGGAAAAGACAGACAAGCAAGATGATACCCCGACTCCCTTCGATTCTCGTTCTCCAAAGAGCCATCCTTCCTTCTTTCATAATGCCCTCCGCAAACTTTCATCTTCCTCTTCGTCCGTCGGTGGTGCGTTAGGAAAGATCGCGACACAGGGAGTGATTCCCGAACGGCGAGTTATGAATGTCGATCAGCATCGCGATAGATGTAAGATTGCTGAGCTGAACCAGGCTAAGCTCCGGCGTGTTGCGTTTTGTGTCGATGTGGAAATTGCGGGGACTTCTCGCCGGTCTGAATCCGAAGAGGAAGCTACACCGCAACAACCTACACAGCTGTCGTCGCAACCGCCACCGCAAACGCCATCGCAGGCGGCCCCTGCGAAGAAGAAATCCACAATGGCCGATCAAATCAGAGTTTTCAAGAGACAAGACTCTAAGCCCGCCGTGGAGAAGGCTGAACCATCGCAACCGGGTGCTAATGGCGAACCAACCGAGGTCCCTTCAAGTACAGCTGCTAGCGAGACGACACCGTCGGAACCCGCTAAGGAAAACGAAAAGCCCCCTGGTACCAAAGAGCAAACAAGAAAGCAGGAAAAGAAGAAGAGGTCAGAAGAAGAGCGGAAAGAACGCAAGGAGAGAAAGAGAAGGCAGGCCGAAGCGAACGGGACCATTCCACTTCAGTTTACTCGTGACAAAGGATCGTCTTCTCTCCGTCCCACCCGAGGTCAGGATCAACCAACGACTGACCCTGTACGAATATATCGCCGCTGTTGTCAACTACGGGAAACCGGGGTTTTGAAGAAGATAGTTGAACAGATCTCTTCACCATCTTCGGGCCTTGCAGAGTCTCCTGGGACTGTTGCTGTTCTAGATCTCAGTGGCCTTTGCATGACCCTCCCTGATATTGTTACCTTCGCCGACTGGCTTGCCATCGTTCCCGTCCGCAAGCTACTTTTACAAAATTGCGGCCTCACTGATGAAGCGGTGCGGGTGATCCTATCAGCGCTGCTGTCCACAAGGACGATCGAAGAATCAAGGTTACGAAGAAAGAGTGGCAGGAAACACGGCGACGATGCATCCCAGAGGGGAGAGAGAGCGGGCGTAATAGAAAAGCTGTCTTTGAAGGATAATCCCAAGATCGGCCACGATGGATGGCGGCACATCGCGCTCTTCATTCATATGTCAAGATCCCTCATCGGAATCGACTTGTCTGGAATCCCTTTCCCGCAAACTCCGGCCACCACAACCAGACCAATTAGTCCCTTATCAAAAGCCAGTAAACAACCTGCGACAGTATCCACTGTCTTCGCGAAGGCATTGTCTGAGCGACTTGCGGGAAACCACTTGGAAGAGCTAGTAATCAGCGAATGTTATCCATCTTCTGAAGATCTTTCCAAGATTTGCGATGCGGCGACAGCTGTGGAATTACGAAGATTGGGAGTTGCACACAATAACATGACGGCGGAAGGATTGGGACATGTCATTCGCTATTTGCAGGCTGGTTACTGCGAAGGACTTGACTTGGGAGGAAACAATCTGGGTGACCATCTAGGGCCGCTGTCGTCCGCCATTCAAAAAGCAAAGGATCATCCGCTCAGTGCTCTAAGCCTGGCGGATTGTTCATTGACGCCAAAACCTCTATGCTCTGTCCTCCAAGCGCTGACCTGTTTGCCTAATTTCCGATTTATCGACCTCTCCCATAACCCGAACCTTTTTGCAAGCCAGCCGGACTCTTTAACGACCTTACGACGCTATCTTCCCCAAATGGCTGAATTGAAACGAATACACTTGGCGGATGTCAGCCTCTCTCCAGATCATGCCATAGCTCTTGCAGAGATATTACCCGATTGCCGTCGGCTATGTCACATTAATATCTTGGAGAATCCCACCATTGCCGCTTTGGCTTCAGCCAAGGACGCACCCACCCAGGAAGAAGCTTGCGCATTGTACGCGTCGTTGATGACAGCCGTTCGCATCTCACACACCCTCATCGCAGTAGATATCGACGTCCCGACGGCAGATAATAACGAAGTTGTCAAAGCCCTCGCATCACAAATTGTGGCCTACTCTCTTCGGAACCTCGAGCGTGGTGAACTTGTGGAGGAGCTTTCTGATGGCTCAACACCGGAAGAGTACCCAGTTCCCGTCCCCGATATCCTTGTGCATATTGTTGGAAATGTGGATGATGTAGGAGATGATCCTACGAAGCTGGCTCCGGATGAAGACTACGTTATTGGCGGTACTGGGCTGGTAAAGGCTCTTGGGGTTTGCCTTGGTAATGCCGACCACCATTCCCTGGAGACTTTGGGCGATATAACTCCCCCTCCCAGCGGCACTTCTACGCCACTTCGGCGCGCTAGCAGTGTTGGAAATAAAAAGCCACGGGACATGTCGAAGAACCTTCTCAATTCTGCACGGAGAATACGTGTGCGATTACAGCCGGTTCTTGTCAGGGAAGACAGGGCCGGTAATGAATCGAATTATCGTAAGTATTCCTTTTGTGTTTTTATGCTTGATTGTTACTTCATTTATTCAAACGACCATAATTTACAATTATATTTCTCTAGGACGACTACAATTCCTTGATGTTACCCTACAACGGATGATCCAACGTTTCGAAGATGAATTTCCAGATACCCGCCTTTCTACCGACTCAGACACAAGGGACACCCTTCCTCAACGGACCCCGTCCCAATCATCCGCGGGCGAATCTGCAGAACGGTCTAAACTAGATGATCCCGCAAACCTGGACGCAATTCAATTAAGCCAAAGCCCGGATCAAGATCAATATCCAGACGCAGCCATTGACGACGAAGACGGGGACCGTTACGCCATCCGCTTATCCCGTACCAGCTCAAACACATCCCTCCACTCCAAAGCCCTGACCTCCGAAGAAGGCAGGGTCCACCGTTTCCAGCAGCATGTCCGCCGGGATATTCTTAGCACCGATCTCGAGGCTGAGCCGGATACCCCCTCCCAAGGCCCCGACGAGACGCAGATCCACGCCTTACGCGAAAAGCTCGAGCGTCTCCGGAGTAGTGAGATGCAGTCTCGCATCGAGCTTGTTGGACCTGACAAGGCGCTTGAAGAGCTGGGGGCGAATATGGAAGAGTTACTTGCGCTGCGCGAACGGGATCCGGAGTCGTTTGAGAGCTTCAAGGCGAGCCAGATTGCTGCGCAGATTAATGCCGGGTTGGTGGGAGAAGGGGAGGGAGAGGGTGAACGGGAAGCAAGTGAACAACGCCCTCCCTAGATTCTATTAACCCCACAGTAAGCCCTCTTTTTTCCTGTAGGGGTGGGAGGGGGGATAAACAAATTACACTTTGTCTGCTGCAAATCTCACGCCAGGCTACGAAATTTCAGCTCCCTCTTTTCCAACTTTCCGATTTTGAGTGTGACACTTCTATTTTATTCATTGACAAATTTTTACGAAATCTTTTGCATATTTCCTGTGCGTTTTCCCTCTACGGTACTAGGTTTTGGGGAGAACCAAACAAAGAGATTAGCCCTGGGTGCTGTTTTTCTTTTTTTCGTTTCCATTCTCACTGCTGCTAGCCGTTTCTGCGGAATGCCACTCTTCGTATATATATGTACATGTACATACGAATTGCGTATATGCACCCAACTGAAAGCTCACACACCTGTACTGTTTTGTTTCATTCCATGATACACTCTTCTTTGACTCGCTTTTTATTATTTTTATTTTTATTATTTTTATTTTTATTATTTTTATTTTTATTATTTTTATTTTTATTATTTTTATTTTTATTATTTTTTTAAGGGCAGAGGCAACCAACCCTCTTGCATTCTTCACACTTAGCACCAGGAGCACAGCGAGAAGCGAGAAAAATAACGGCCTTAGCTTTTTTTTCTAATTTTGTTATATATTTAATATATTTTTATTCCACCTATCTATTCATGCTGATGATTTCTCGTTTTCGTTTCTTCCTCCTAGTCTCCTTTTGTTTTCCGACTGCTGACTTTCTTCCATTGTATGTCCTTGCGTTTTCAAAGGATAATGCGGAATTTTTTCCTGTCGTGTTACACATATTTAGTAGTGGAAGCGGATGCTTTATTTCACCCGCGAGATGGAATTTGCTTCAATATTTAATACGTTCATCATTCTCCATTCTATGTCATATTCTCTGTAATTCATCTTCAACAAACCTTCCCCTTTCACAAGCTATTCAATCCGGGGACGCAGATTATGTAACCCGGCAAAACCTTCGGCCCGGTAACATGATCCACCTGCCATTTCACATGCAAACCGGCGAGTCAAGTGACTTGCTTCGTCCGGGTTCCATCAACCATCTATCTGTCCATCTTCAATCCAGCTTCGGCTTCGTTCTTGTGTTTTCTTTCTTCTTTCCAGGCCTCCTGTTCATTTACCTAATTAACATTTGTTTAATCCATACTTAATTGTTCTTCCTTTTATTTCATCGGGTTTCCTTTTACCATAATAGAGCAAAAAGCGGCACATAGATTCCTTGTCCGTCCCATGACGCCATGGCATCTTAACTAGGGAGTCCCTCATCTCAACCCTTTTTCTTTGTTCAAATTAAAATATAGAGGATAGCTCAAGAAAGATAGGGCAACCAAATAATTGATTCCTCTTTTCCCTCTACCCCTACGTTCTCGCAACGTATTGACCAAATACCAGCGCCGCCATCGTCTTTCCAAAAACTCCCACCCTCCCAAAAATGGCCGCGCTATCCAAATTCTCTCTCCCAGACGCATCCCTCAAATCCCTTCTCTCCTCCCTAACCACCCACTATGTCAAACACCGCAAACTTATCTCCCGGGGCGTCTACCTAACTCTCTTCCTCGCCCTCATCAAGCGCATCCACAACGCAATCGCGGAACAAAAGGCGGCCTCCCAGCGCATAGCAGAGATCCGCGGACGACCTGGCACGAACAAGATTAACGGATCTGATAATGCCAATGGCAGCGGCGGGGCAGCTAACGGCGCGGGGCCTAAAAAGGTAGAGCTGAATTGGGAATTTGTCAAGAATCTGCTTCGTTTGTTGAAGATTATTATCCCCGGGTCGAAGAGTAAGGAGCTGCGATTGCTGATTAGCCACTCGGTGTTTTTGGTGTTGCGCACGTTGTTGAGTGTGTATGTTGCGGAGCTGGATGGGAAGTTGGTTAGTAGTTTGGTGAGGGGGAAGGGGAGGGAGTTTTTGCTTAGCCTTACGTGGTGGATGGCCGTGGCGGTTCCGGCGACGTTTACGAATTCAATGGTACGTTTTTTTTTTTTCCCTTTGGCGGATCTGTTCCGGAATGAGTGGGAGGGTTTATGCGGATTGCGCTTTGCTAACGTTTCGTTTGTTGTAGCTTTCCTATCACCAATGTCAACTGGCGCTTCATTATCGGAAACGGCTGACGGAATATGTGCATGGCCACTACCTGTCGAACATGTCGTTTTATACCCTATCCGCCCTAGATGACCGTATCAAAAATCCAGATCAACTTATAACAGTCGACATCTCACGATTCTCAAACAGTTTGGCGGAGCTCTACTCGAACCTCGCCAAGCCTATCCTTGACATGGCTATATATAATTATTCTTTGTCGAAGAGCGTGGGTGGCGAGGGCCTTTTCATCATGTCACTCCTTGTCCAATTATCCGCAAACGTGATGCGCGTCCTCACGCCGCCCTTCGGAAAATATGTCGCTGATGAAGCACGGCTGGAGGGCGAGTTCCGGTTCCAACATACGAGACTCATCGATCACAGTGAAGAGATCGCCTTATACCGTGGCCATGAGGCGGAGAAAAATACGTTGGATAAGGGTTATTTCACACTGATCAAACATGTGAATCGCATCTTGCGGAGGAGGCTGTACTATGGTTTCATGGAGGACTTTGTGATTAAGTACTTCTGGGGCGCGCTGGGGTTGATTTTGTGTAGTGTCCCAGTTTTCTTTAAGCTTCCTGGACAGACCGCCGAGACGATGGGGGATAGAACGGAGAGTAAGTTTCATATACACACCTCCAGGTGCTATAAATGATTTCCTTGCTAATTTTTTTTTTTTATGAAGGCTTCGTTACAAATAGGCGCATGCTACTCTCTTCCTCCGATGCCTTCGGACGGGTGATGTTTTCTTACAAAGAAATTTCACAACTGGCTGGCTATACTGCCCGCGTAACATCTCTGCTGGACGTCATCGACGACGTCGCAGCAGGGCACTTCGAAAAGAAGCTCGTCTCATCTGCTTCAACGGACGAGAACGTCGCCGTCCTCAGCGGCCGTGGCACCATCACTGAAAGCGACTCCATCGAATTCGTCGATGTCCCCATCGTGTCTCCCAACGGGGACGTGCTGGTCCAGAAACTGTCCTTCACCGTCCACCCGGGCGATCACCTCCTCATCGTCGGCCCCAATGGGTGTGGGAAGTCCTCCCTCTTCCGAATCCTGGGCGGCCTATGGCCTGTGTATGGCGGGACTGTCAAAAAACCTTCCTTCGAAGACATCTTTTACATCCCGCAACGCCCCTACCTGTCCCGCGGCACGCTGAGACAGCAAGTCATATATCCCGACGGCCTGCGCGAGATGCGCGCTAAAGGGGTCACCGACGAAGACCTGTATGAGATCCTTAGCGTCGTGGAGATCGCGTCTATCGTCGATCGACCGGGAGGGTGGGATGCGGAGGAAGAGTGGCGTGATGTCCTTTCCGGCGGTCTACAACAGCGAATTGCCATGGCGAGGCTCTTCTACCATAAACCCAAATACGCGATTTTGGACGAGTGCACGTCCTCCGTGACGTTGGAGATTGAGAAGGTGATGTATGAGACGGCGGAGAAGCTTGGGGTGACACTGATGACTGTGTCGCATCGGCGGAGTTTGTGGAAGTATCATAAGAAGATCTTGCAGTTTGATGGGCAGGGGAATTGTATTTTTTCCAGCTTGGATTGGGAGAAGAGGCTGAGACTGGAGGAGTAAGTACTTCTTTACGCTGTGAAGTTCTTTGCTTTTGATTATTATGTTCGTTAACTAACTACTCGAACACAACAGCGAGAAGGAAGAAATTGATCTCCAGCTCCGTGCAGTGCCGGAGTTGGAGAAGAGGCTTTCCGAGCTTACAGCCTCGTGAGCCTGCTTTTGCGGTTCACACCTTACAGTGTCCATCTACTAAATTTAACCCAACAATTTAAAATACCCCTTCTAGCCCTATCGCACAAACTGTCACATTTGACCCTCTAGGCTTCCCGTACCCTAATGCTTGGAAGACAACTGATGCTATTACGACTATTTCATGGCGTATGTGCATGTTCGGGCACAGTTGATTTACTTTCTCTTCCTTTCTTATGGTTGCCATATTTCCACATCACAAAGCCACCTCCCACTTTATAAAGCTATATATACTTGTCTGTATATTAGCTATAAACTTGGGACAGGCATTTTTATAATTTCAGCATGTTATTTTCTACCATATTTATTAGATATGTCGTGGTTTGGTGATTGGTCTTTAGTTCACATTCCCTTATATCTTTCCAGCACCTTTCAAAGATGGTAACGGAACTTTGGCAAGGAAATTCTCTCTCGCGGCAGCATAGTAGATAAAATTCAGGCATGTACATGTACATGTACATGTAAGAATTCACACAAAGATCAAATTTCTATACTCCAACAATATACAAACCAGAAGCAGGGAAACATCAATATGCCTAAGGGCTTAACACCACGAGCTTCCCGAACTGTGGATTCTCAATCGCGGCCTTCCCTGCCTTCTCATGCTCTTCCAGCTTGAACTCGCCAACCACCTCCACTCCACCGCTTTTCCCGAGCTTCAGGATGCCAGATTCAAACAGCCTCAAAAGACCCCGAACATCAGCCGCATGATACATGAATTGCGCGCGGATTGTTAAATTGTTGGCTACAGCATGGCTGTATGGAACAGCAATGTTGTCATCAGAGATGAAGCCCATGAGTACAGCCCTCCCGTACGGCCCCAACGCCATCAAGCCACTCCTCACTATCGTCGACCCGGACGCCTGAGGGGGCGAAACGTCAATAAACACATCAACGGGGCGACCTAATTGCTCCTTAAACGCGGACGAATCTGCCTCCGCGTCCCCCTTCAACTGCACAATCTTCACCCTCTCACCATGGGTAGCTCTTAACTTCTCCAAAACGTCGACGTTTCGGCCTGCAGCAATGACATTCGCGCCCATTGCCACTGCAAGCCCCACAGCCGCGCCGCTATACGACCCCGTCGCCGGCGCCACAACAACCGTCTCCCCTGCCATAAGCTTCACATTCCGAAACCCGGCAAACGCAATCGGGTAGAGAGAGATGGCAGACAGTTCCGCAGTGCTATATCCCAACTGAGTGCAGAGAGCCTGCTCATCCAGGGCCCAGCAGTTCTCCAACGGGCACCGCGCGTACTCTGCAAACAAGCCTTGACGCCAATTGTCCTCTATGAATTTCCTCCCTGTGGACGTCCACCCGTCATGGAAGCTCCAGAGGTAAATGACGTCCTTGTTATCGCGTGACCGCAATGCTGGTTCGAGCATCACCAGCTGGCCGATGGAGAAGCTGGTAGTGTCAGGCCCTGTGGCTGCCACGCGCCCGATGGCACGGGCCCCAGGGGTATTGGGGAATGGATATGTGAATGGCGTGTGGCCGCTGATGATGCGCGTAACGCTGACATCCATCGTGGCGTGAAGGATTTTGACCACGATGCTTCCGTGGATTGGGGTTGGGGTGGGCACCTCTTGGAGCTGAAGAGGTTGGGCATTGCCGGTGCGCACGAGAGCGCGCATTGTTGCGGGGAGTTGGGGGTTGGTGGTGATGGTTGCCATTTTTTCACTTTATATTATAGAAGAGAACTAGTTGGAAGCGCGTCTTTCCATGCTTTTGGGGAACTGAAACGGAATGATATGCTTTTAAGGATGGCGATTTGTTCAGGATATCAAAAGCACTTTGGATTCAGTGGGTTCCACGGCATCTTTTATACTTGAGAGAACGGAATTTGAGGAGGACATTGTTCTTTCGTTGCACAGAGAGCTTCTACCTCCGGCTGCCCCAGCAGACGGGAGAGATTCTACCCGGGAAGCATTCATCAATGCCCTAGCTTGCTTGTCTTTGACCTTCCTTTTGCAAAACTTCGCCCGTTGACGCCTGGCGATAGCTCCAAATCCCATATGCAATGCATCCGTCCTTTGCGTAATTCGTCCCCTCTGTTGTCTCGACACATGCATCCTGGATAGAAAATCGGAGCTCATGAAGAAATACGAATTAGGGTTAGACTGCGGGAATACGAAAGGAGGTTAGCGCGAAAACCTTAATTGTGGGCCTAGTCAGGCCTTCCAATTGGCGGCTGCGAAGTCATTCCTACTGACTTTACAGCGCAGTACACCGGACGTTTTTCAATTGATACGTCTACTTTAGACGGGAAAGGTCACCGTAACATCAAAAGTGGGAAAATGTTGATACAAGGACTCGTTATCAACATGGCATATCGCTTGGACTGGATGCACCATTTCCAGAACTCTTTGAACTCCAGTGATATCTGATTCATCTTGAATACGGCTCCCGTATCCTACCGATGCAATACAACAAATCAAAGAATCGAACTGATAACCCCACCTCCTAAACATCACCATGACGTCTGTTGTCGCGAAACAACACTCTGACGCAAAAGGGCGGAAGCGCAAGGCGCATAGAAAGTCCCGTCAGGGTTGTGGAAACTGCAAAATTCGCAGAGTCAAGGTCAGCCAGATGAGCTCCGTCGGTCAATAAACCAGCCTCTGCATAAAATTTACCCCAAAATATCCTTTTTCCGGTCTCTATTTTCTTCATCTAATGCAATACTTATAGTGTGACGAAGGCCGACCGGGGTGTCAAAAATGTGCATCATTCGGTGTCTCTTGCAGCTATGAGCCCGGCGCTGCTGATTTACAGCCTTCTCGGGCATCCACTTTCCAATCAGATGGCTACGGATTTTTGCAATTTCAAAATCTGTCAGCGCCAGTACCACGGAAGTCGCCATGTTCTTTGAATGATACAATCCTTAGCATGATCAACACGTCGCAAGCAGCGGCATTTTCCCCTAGACCTAGAGACTATGACAGCATACATTCCGCAGTACCCCAGCGTCCGTATCAACTGCGCGAACATGACCTGGAACTGCTCTCCATATTCCAGGCTAGAACAGCTTGTTCCATTGGGACAGATGCAACACTGCCCATCTACCGTAGAGAGTTTATTCGACTGGCATGTCAGGTATGTTCGAGTTATTCTTACGTCCTACACCGCATTCTACACCACCTAGCCATCCAATCCAACACCCCCTGCAACACTGGATTAACGAATGCGTCAAGCACCCCTTCCTCCTCCACATGGTATTAACTATGACCCTACTACACGACCGCTATCTCTCCCACTTCCCCCCCAGGCCACGCTCCTCATCACCATCCCAACTACACCTCACATCCTCACCCAAAGCCCTTTTTCACTGGTACCTCGGCACCATCCTCTTTAACACCAAACTCGCAAACCCCAGCCAAATCGACCCAAGAGAGCGCGACGCCATCTGGGCAGCCTCCGTTCTCCTTGGTGCCATTACGTTTTCATTCGTGGATGCCAGCCGGGCAGAGGACTCGTGGCCGCTGAAGCCTTCTTCGCATCTGGATCCGAACTGGTTAGCCATCAGCGATGGGAAGAGGGAGGTTTGGAAGCTAGCTGACCCGCTGAGGGCGGATAGTGTGTTTCGGGAAGCGTTGATAGGTCCTGTTCATGGGGAGACGGATCATAGCGCCCCTTCTACTGTCATTGATGGTCCTGGACTTAATGTTGATGACGGGTGGAGGTTTTGCTTCGCCTGCAGCTCCAATTACTACTCCGTGATAAGCTCAGTATCAGCATCAGACACAATCTACACCCGCACCCCACCCCACGAATTCCTCCTCCTACACCACTTCATCACCACCACATTCCCAGACCCAGACCCCAAAGTCAACCCCTATCACACAGCCCTCACAACCCTCCACAGCCTCTTCACCACCCCCTTTAAACCACATACCCCCATCGCCCCCTTCATCGCCTTCATCACGCATATAGACCCCGCCTACCGCAACCTACTGCACCACAAGGATCCGCTAGCGTTACTATTACTGGCCTACTGGTACGGGTATGTTTACGAAAACGAGAGCGAGCACGCACCCTGGTGGTTCTGGAGCCGTGCGATGGTGGAGGGTCGGGCTATTTGTATGTACCTAGAGAGGAACGAGGCGGTGTTAAGCAATAGGAATGTGATTGGGCGGGATGTAGGAGGCCTGGTAGATGAATTGACCATGAAGCAGTTGATAAGCTGGCCAAGTAGGCAGTGTGGTCTTGTATAAAACTCGAGAGAACTTGCAATTTACGGGTTTACAAACCCTATATGATTATAATCCACAGTCCCGTTAAGACAATACTTGTGTGAAAATAAATCCGAAATCACATTTGCGAAGCATTATCAGGCCAATTTCCTCGTCAGGAAGACCGGACAAGAAACTCTGCAAAATGACAAAGCTCGACAATAATAAGAATGGAATGACAAAGAGTGAATATCCAACACCACCTTGGAAAAACGTTCATCTTCCCTCTCCACCGTCTAATTAACCCCAACCAAACATCGCCAGCGGCCGCCCTACTCCGCAACGGCAACCGGTTCCACATTCCAAATAGTCTCCGCATACTCCGCAATAACCCTATCAGACGAGAAAAACCCCATCCTCGACACGCTCAAAATGCACTTCTCAAGCCATCCATCCCGATCCCGATACGCCTCATCCACCATATCCTGCGTCGTGATATAAGAATGGAAATCGTCTGAGACCAGATAGTAATCGCCATGGTCGGTGATTGCTGAAATGAGGGCTGAAAATGAGCTAGCATCACCAAAAGTTCCCGAGCGGATACTGTCGAAGACGGCGGCCAAATCGCTATCTATGGTGATGCTATCCTTCTCATAAAGATGGTTGTGACGCAGATCATCAACATCTTCAGCCAGGGTACCGAAAAGGAAGATATTCTGCTCGCCGATCTCGCGGGTTATTTCGATCTAAGGGCGGTTTTAAATTAGAGTTTAGCTCATGAGAAATCGTGGTTAAAGTAGACTCACATTTGCGCCATCACATGTGCCAATTATCAGGCCTCCATTAAGGACGAATTTCATGTTGCTTGTCCCACTGGCCTCTGTACCAGCAGTTGAAATATGCTCGCTGATATCCGAAGCAGGGCAAATAATTTCCGCCTTGCTAACGTTATAGTCTTCCACAAAGATGACCTTCAAAAGATCTCCAACATCCGGATCGTTGTTGACAACTGACCCAACTTGGTTAATAAGGTGGATAATTGTTTTCGCCATCCAATATCCTGGTGCTGCCTTTCCTCCGAAAATCGAGACACGAGGAACAAGCTTTGCCCGTTCTTTGGCACTCATTGCTTTTATTTTAAGATACCTGTGTATCACCCCAAATATGTTTAATTGTTGCCGCTTGTATTCATGGATCCGCTTGACTTGTATATCAAAAAGAGCTTTCGGGTTAACAAGAACCCCAGTGGTATCCAAGATATGGTTCGCAAGCCGAACTTTGTTAGCATGTTTGATATCCGCCCATTCCTCCTTGAAATCTTCGTCGTCAATGTATGCCTCAAGCTTGTCGAGTAAAGTAAGATCCTTCAAAAAGTCGTGACCTCCTAGCCTCGAAGCAATGAGATTAGAGAGGCGAGGATTAGCCTGATGGAGCCATCTTCTAGGGGTGATGCCATTTGTCACATTGGTGAATTTGTCCGGGCCATATATCTCAACAAAATCCTTGAAGATCGTCGTCTTGATAAGGTCAGAGTGTAGCTCTGCCACTCCATTGACTTTGTGAGAGCCAATAATCGCCAAATGGGCCATACAAACCATTTTTGGCTGAGATTCTTCGATTATTGAAACTCGAGTTAACAGGTCACGATCTTTCGGAAACTTTTTCTCCACCATCTGCAGAAACTGCAAATTTATATCGTAGATAATTTGCAAATGTCTTGGAAGGAGGCTCTGGATAAGAGGAACAGACCATTTCTCCAAAGCTTCGGGCAAAACCGTATGATTCGTATAACCGAACGTTCTGGATACGATATTCCAAGCCTCGTCCCATTCCAGCCCTTCCTGGTCAATGAAGATACGCTGTAGTTCCACTATTGCAAGAGTGGGATGCGTATCGTTCAGTTGGATCGCGACGTGGTCAGCAAACTCTGACCATGCACGTTTGGTCTTCTTGAATCGCCTCACAATATCGTAGAGGGAAGCCGCGCACCAAAAGTATTGTTGTTTCAAACGTAGTTCCTTTCCACGATCGAGGTTGTCGTTGGGATACAGCACTGCTGATATGCTCTCCGCACGCTGTTGGTCAGCCACGGCGCTTTCATACTCGCCTGCGTTGAACTTTTGAAAATCGAACTCCCCACTGGCGGCCTGGCTTGACCAGAGACGGAGATTGTTGGTTGTTGGTGTGGCATAACCAGGAATGGGCATATCATAAGCCACCGCTCGAACAATCTCTCCATCTTCCCATGAATGAATAGTCTTCCCTCTTTCATCTTGATATTTCCTAACCGACCCATAAAACTGGATATCAACGGTGACATCGTGGCGTGGGAACTCCCATGGGTTGAAATCGAGCCAGTAATCTGGGACTTCAATCTGATATCCGTTGATTATCTCTTGCTTAAAAATGCCGTATCGATATCGCAATCCATATCCCCATGCAGGATAGTTAAGAGACGCCAGGCTGTCAAGAAAGCAGGCAGCAAGTCGCCCCAAGCCGCCATTTCCCAGAGCAGCATCATGCTCTTGGCTAATAACATCTTCGATTCGGAAACCAAGGTCTTTCAGCCCATCTGTAACACTTGCATTAGCAATGATGAGTTAATTAGAGGAGTAAGAATCAAACCTCTTGCAACATCCTTCATTCCCACATTCAACATAGCATTGTCCAGAGCTCGTCCCATCAAAAATTCGAGAGAAAGATCTACAAAGTCAGTACGGTCGCGAAACATGTCCAGGGTATAAATACATACAGTAAACTCGCTTCTGGTCTGCAAAGGTCTGTCGCTGTTGGGTTTTATTCCATTCAATGACAAGTCGGTCTCGAAATGCCAATGCGGTGCCAGAGTATGCCGCCCTATCGATGCAGTAAGTTCACCCGAATTGCGCATTAATCACTGAGGTTTCACCAGAGCACCTACAATTCATCGCAGTTGAAGAGAGACCGAGCAAGAGTGGTCTCGACATGGCGAACAACTTCTTTCTATACCTCCCGTTAGAAAATTTTAGAAACCCCAAACATGTTTCAGGCAAAACCAAGTGAATCAATATAGAAAAATTTCAAACAAACCATACCCCAAATTCATCTTTCGTCTCGAATTCTTTCGCAGACTACCGCCAGACAAACTATTAGAGCTCACTCAGCTATTGATAGAGGAAAGTAACCATACAAACTTGCGCCAGCTGCACTTCCAAACACAATATTAGCACAACTTTCTCTCTAGAAAATCCAATGTATAGGTTCCTAGGGCAATGGGCCATTCCGTGATCCTGAAAGATCAGTCCGTTCGGAAGTGGGGAAGTAGTACATACGCTTCTCGCAGTGGCTCCGGGATACTAGCTTCTACTTTCTTGATGTCCTGAGGTCCCAACCCGGTATATGTGCGTTTATGCTTAGGGCGGCTAAATCCAGGTCCAACGGGCCCCTGAAGATCTGATATTGGGGCTCCGACTGACGGACGACGTTCACGCGTTGGGCTAGCCATTACTTAGGAGTTAAGAGCAAAAGGAACTGCTGTTCGAATTAGATGATCTGAGAAGTTCTCTAGAGAACGCTCAGATCTACTGCGTATCTTGAACAACTTTGTTAAATGGATTCTTCTGAGAAATTATGCGGGGAAAGTTGCAAATCGCGGGGCCATTCTGACGGGTTTGTGCAACGGGTAATATAGAGAGCAATGCGAGGAGGAAGATGTAGCATTTACCTTGAAATAAAAATAGCTCGAGTGAATATTCCCGACAATTTGGAGAATATAGAAATTAGAAGAAAGCCGAAGAAAAGAGATGCTGTAGAAACTGTCGGTGGAAGAGGTTGGTTGGCGGCTACTTATATATGAATGAAGCTGGTGGGGAAGTAAATAAGGTTCCGAAGAGGTGCAGAAACAACAGTCAAGTGCGACACACTGCTTCAGTCAATCAGTCATCCAAGAGCAATGGAGCAGAAGAGTTAACTAGTAAGTTAACTAGTTATATGAAAAGCAATGTTGAATAAAATACAAAAGGAAAAGCAGATGGCGTCCTTCCTTGCAACAAGAACATATCCGGGTGGGGTTAGGTTATTTAGGTTGCGATCAGACACCAAATGGGAATCCTTGGAACAAGCCCAAAGTCACTTTGAGGCCATTAATAAATACTGCAAAGCCATTGACCAAGCTCAGCGAGGATTTCGCCCCTCTTGGAGGGAGTAAATATGTTCCAGATCTTGTTCGAGACAAAACCCAGCTCTATCTAAGCTTCCTTGCAAAACCAGGTCGAGACCATATCAATCCTGATCATCCAATTGGATGAGAGATAACAGCGGCATGAACCTGCATTGGTGGTTTCTGATTTGATAAAACGTGCTGCCACTGGTTGGACATCGTCATGTAGACCATTCTTAAACGATGCAAGAAACAGATTTGAGGCTCCGAGTGTGAGATGAGAGCCTTGTGGGGAATTGCAAGTCGGAGAATGGAAAAAAAAATAAATAAATAAATAAATAAATAAATAAATAGATAAAACAGACAATAAGTAAATCTGATGGAGGTGGAAGGTTGGTTGATTGTACACTAATCTAGCCGCGCAGCATTCTATGGATAGGTGTGTGGGTCACGTGGCCTCATATAGGGCATCCGGCCAACAAAATCCATGTAGAAAACAAGCCTCAATCGCTCGCTTGCGCTCGCTTATTCAGCTTGAAAAACGTGCCGTTTAATCCCTCAGATTGAACGTAATGAGATATCCATGAATATGAACAGCTGCACGTGACTTGTATAGGTGAATTCCATGTAATCCACAACTGTTAATAGAGAACAACTACATAGGAAAAAGATGAATAACACTGTAGCAGTGTTGTAGAGTTAATGTAGAAGCTTCAAGTGAGATGTAATTAAATGCCAGGCAGCTCATGTAAAGATCTTAGAACTACAATACACATAGCCAGCAATTGAAACATGCCACAATTTACTCCAATTAATCATCAAATCATCTGGAATACAATTGAAGCAGCCAAAATGGCCGAACGTAAGTAGAGAACTGGAAGAGAAACGGCCCAGAAATTATGGAATTACAGCTAATGATAGTGCAGAGCAAGCCCAGCAAGCCCAGGGAGCCCTGGAGGCCCAGCAGCCCACCAACCCGCCTGCGCCCGCCCCCCAGCAGCCACGCCAGCAGCCCGCCAACGCGTGGACGCCCGAACGTAGGCTACGGCTGCTGGTAGAACAAATAGCCAAGGAAGGCAGTGGGGTCGTTGCACAGCTGCGTGAGATGAAGCCCAAGAGGGATATAGTGCTGCGCGAGGAGAAATTCGAGCCCCAGCTAAAAAGGGCAACAAATGTAGAATCAGCACTTGCCCACAGCCGTGGCACCAAAGCCACTCCGCCATGCGGCTCGTGCGAGAAGGGCCACGGTCCGTTTGTTGGGTGTGTTGTGGTCTCTGGCATGTTGAAGGGGGCCTGTGCAAATTGTCACTACAATTCGCTGAGCAAACGCTGCAGCTTGCGGCCTGGTAAGTAATGAATCGTCCCTATAGCATGTAAATCCATTAGCAAAATGTATATGCAAAACGTATATGCTGACATGGAAATAACAGAGAATCAGCAGTCCCCCGCCCCCGCCAATACAGGGGAGAATGAGAAGGAGAAGGGGAAGGGGAAGAAGCGGGCTGCCAGTGTGGAGCCGGGCCAGGCGGCTCGGCCGTACGGTCCGGCCAAAAAGAAACAGGTGACGTTTGTGGCTCTGGAGGATGGAGAGGAGGATGATGAAGTGAGTGGCAGTGGGGCCACGGAGTTGGAGTTGTTGCGGCTGCGGGCGGAGGTGCACCGGCTCTGTAAGGTGGAGGAAGAGGTGAAACATTTGCGTAGAGAGCGGGATGAGGCCGTGGGCCTGTTGCAGATGGCCCAGCTCAGCCAACAGAGCGCCTCCGCGGGCATTACGGCCCTGATTAAAAAATTCGAAAAATAGGGGGTGGCGTGGGCGGGCCGTATGGGCCGTGTGAGATGTGGGAATGGGCCCGGTGGGGCATTATTGCTTTTTTCTTTTCTTTAATAGTTAGTGTCAAATTGAAATGACAGTTTTTTACATGTCCAAAGACCCCTATTTTAACGCCTGATAATGGCATTGTGTAGACAATGGAGAAAAAACAGCAGTAGCAGAAGGATTAGTTAAGAAACTGTAGAACCTCCGGATATACCTCATTTAATGTACGTCCCTCATCATCCTCATCTAGCAAGACAGTCAACTGGTTGACATCTGTAGTTCAAGAGAGTGCAACGTATAGCTGGCCATGTGAGAATACAGGGTTCCTGAGATCAACACCAACTGTAGAAAGAGACTGCCCCTGGGACTTGTTGATTGTCATTGCAAAGCATGGACGGACTGGAAACTGACGGCGAGTCATGCCAAATGGAATCTCAACAGGTTGAGCTTGTAGATCGATCCGTGGCAGTATATGAACTGAACCCTTATACGTGCCGGATATGATCTTCACCTCAAGTAAACGGGTTGTCATCCACTGGACAATCATTCTTGTGCCATTGCAGAGCCCTTCGGACGGTCGGAGATTACGCAGAAGCATAACAGGAGTGCCCACTTTCAACCTCAATACGGACGGTGGCAGGGCTGAACAGTTAATGGCGGCCAGATATTCACGGGAGAACTCCTCACAGCCCAGGGCCAGATCATCCGTATGAGCCATGTCTGCAGCATAAAACGTATGAACATCACCTGGCATGGCTGCCATAACCCGTTCATTAATGCGGAATGCATCCTGATTTAATACAGTGAGAATGGCACGGCTTTCAAAGTAATCAGGGCAGACTGCTGCAGTCCTAAGTTCAGCTGTAGGAAACACTCTCTCACACAGCACACCGATGTCAGCGGCCCGATGAATATAGGATGGAAGGTCAACACGGCCAATACAGTCCGGATTATATGACATTTGACCAAGCCAATTCGCAAACATCATGTTGTCATCATCCGCAGCCAGTCTCATATTCCTTCTCAAGTGCAGTACAGTTAACCGCCGCCATATATATGAACACTGCAGGCAAGCTGCAACAACTGCAGCACGGCTGCCACGCGGCACAACAGGCAGAGTCTGTGCAAAATCACCACCAAATATAACAGACACACCACCAAAAAGCTCATCCGATGAACGTAAATCTTGAAGAAGACGGTCAACAACCTCCATACAATAGCGGTGCTGCATGGGGGCCTCATCCCAAATAATCAAGTCTACAGCCTGCAGCAGACGGCCCAGTTCACTGCGAATGGTCACCTTTGACACAGAATCTGCATCCAATTCAATTGGGATGGTAAAACGTGAGTGGGCAGTTCTGCCACGCGGTAAAAGAACAGCTGCAATGCCAGAGGAAGCCACACAAAGAACTGTTTTTCCACCTGCACGTAGACAGCTATAGAGAGCTCTGTAAAGGAATGTTTTGCCAGTGCCACCAGGACCTTGTAGAAAATAGTGAGATGGCTGTAATTCTATTGCAGCCAGAATTGAATCATATGCATGGCGTTGATCATCATTCAACTGCACCTGCAGGGCATCCGCAGTGGCGATTTCCTCTATAAGATCGTAGTTCTGCTCCTCAAAAAGTAGCCGGTTTCCAATAAGATTATCCCATACAGGGCTGCATGCAGGCAGGTCAAAGTCTGTAAGAATCTTGCCAAACTCATGCAGGAGCTGCTGAATAAGAAACAGACCATAGTCATAATGTGGATCTTCTGCAGGAGCATTGATAATACAGTCCGGATTCATCTGGCGCAGTCGATGTGGAAGATCATCACAGAGAGCATGGCGGAAACATGCCCAGAGAGCAGGTGGATCTGCAACATTTCCATGAATTAATGCAGTGGCGAATACTGACCGCATGCGGTGAGCAGTTGTAAATACAACAGCAGATTCAAATGTAATGATCCACTCATTATCATCATGCAGGAGACCAAGTGCCTGACATGCTGCACAGAATGTAGAGTGACAAACACCATTCACCGTTCGCAGAGCCTCAAAGCTCGGTGGACCACGTATGTTAATAAGAAGCAGCCGTAAAAAGAACACCTCACCATTATATGGACTGAGATGAGGCAGACAGCCAACTGATCTTCCCTTCACACGGCCCTTCCACCTCCGGTTACGTTTGTCCCAAACAAAATGACGGGGAAATTCTTGATAGAGATACTGAACATCCGGATGTGAATTGTTGTAGGCAAAGAATGCCATGAACTTAGACATGTTATTTGTCAAACGTTCAGCAATACATTCATGATCTTCACGTTCGGATTCAGGGAAGTAAATCATCTGGCGGTCCGGTAGGTGAATAGGCAACATCTCAACAGATGGAAACTCCTGGTGCATACGGAATGCGAATATACGCCATACAGCCTCAGTTGGGCCGATATAACGCCCGTGCAGTCGAATATCAATCTCATCATTGGAGCCAACGATACGGAGGGCAGTGCGGTCCGGGCCCTTGTAGATGTATTTGTTGATGTATTTAATGGCTTCAACAGAGGCGCAGACCTCTACGTTTATATGTGCTTTATATGTGCGGATGAGATAGGGGTTGTATGGAACAACCCATTGATTGTCAATTACAACCTCGCTGTTGTTGACAGTACGTTTAAAGGAGGTAGATGGATCATGCTCCCGTCTGTACAGAGGATAGCCATTCTCTTCAACAGCTGTAGCACTCTGAAAAGCTTTGGGGAAACGTTTTGTACATCTGCCATCCTCATGGCAGGGGCTCGCCCCGCCAGCATTACATGGACCATGAATCATGAATTTACGGACCAATTCACCCAACCCGCCTATATCCTCAGCAGGGCTTGGCAGCTCTGCAGATATAATATCGTCAATTGTATCAGGCCGCAAAAACCGCTCAGAGTCCTCTAGCCAGACCAACAGGTGCATATGAGGCAGTCCACGTTTTTGATATTCAATTGTCCATACCCTGGCCAACATCGGCCCGAACAGCTGCCCGGATTTGAGAATGTCAAGAAAATGAAAAATCTTCATTGCAAAAACACGTACAATCAAATCTGGGCGGTCCGCTGCAGCCTGGCCAGGGAGCAACTCACAGGTAATCTCCTCCCACCCAGGGTTGGCTGTGAATGTAATGAAAAGGGTTGGACGCCCGTAGTTGGAGACAATTGCCATAGAATCCTGGAACAGTTTATGCATAAAACGTTCACTGCCTATATAAGAAGCAGGTAATATCACACAGTGGCCAAGCTGCTCATGGTCCGTATCACCTGCCTGTATGGCATCACGTAGACCACTATATTGATCTGCACGGATTTCCAGTTGGTGAGCACAGACCCAGTTCAGCCGCTGTTCATCAACATTCGCGTAGGCATCAACTAAATATTGTTGAAATAGACGTCCGGCCCGAAAAAGAGGAGCATCAACACCATCTCGTTGGAAAAGATTATATGCATGCCACATACGCAGAGTCAGGCTACGGCCGCCACGCTCATCTCCATCCTCAACAGCATCATCAACATCATCATCAGGGCCGTTGCGGGCGGGTGGGAGGTCCGCAAGCACATTCATATCAACATGCCAGCCGTGATCTCCGGAAGGAAAAAGTAGAACATAATGCAGTGGAAGATATAACGGACTGCGAGAATCAATACGTGTGAGACCCAAGCCAGCACCGGGCTGTCGTAGCGTCAGAAGAATGGCACGGGGGTGACGGGCGCCGCCGGGAGTGTCCTGTATAACAACTGCAACCTCAGAGGCAGTAGGCAGATTCTCACGGCGGCGGTCATTGCCTGCCTCCAGCTGTAGAACAGGGTTCAAACCGACACGCGCGGCAGGGCTGTCCTGTAGTATCTCCCATGCGGACCGGTAAAGCTGAATAAAAGGATTAACCTTGGGAACATTAGCAGTTATAACAACATAATAGAAGAATGTGGAAAAGCAAATGAACGAACAGCAAGCAATGCAATACGGATACGATTAAACACGCTAGGACGTATGACAGCGTCTGCACCGTTTAAAATACCCGCACCAAACCGTGGGTCGTGGATCCATGTTTGTGCAAAACAGGCATTCTCACCTGGCTCAGGCTCTAACGGCCCTTGCAGGTGATAGAGTTCCCCCTGTATTTGAAATGGCACCGGGCCGCTAGTAGCCAGGCGACCCAGGCGTGGATCCTGCTTGCACTTAATAGATGTAAATGCCAGGGCAGAGTTGTAGTTCCGAATATGCTTGCGGAAATGCTTCGCGTCAGCTGTATTGTCATTAAACAGCCCACGTAGCTCTTGTGGGGGTTCTTTGACAGGCGGCAGTCTTACAGCACCTCTTGCACAGCATGTGGAAAACACTGGTAGGGTCTTTGATGACCCGCGTACACGTTCGTCAATCCAATGCTTAGCTCTGCAGGCAGAGCAGCAGACATTCATTCGGCCAAAATCAAGTGGTTGGCGGCGACGGGTGTAGGACCGGAAGCCGCAGGGAACAGACCGGCGGCCGCGAGTGATTGGAGGATTAACAGCTGGTTCAGGGGTAGTTGGGCCGGTTCGATTGTTGAGGACATCAAGGGACAGCCGCTCTGGTGAATCCGCACATATATGGCCTGCATGAACTGCTGCGGCAGCTGCCAGACGACGGCGTTTGGCATCGCGGGCACGTTCACGATTGAGAGCCCGGCAGTTGTTGCAGTTCTTGAACACGCGATTGGCAACGCGGAACAGGTGAGATGGACAGTCTTCACGGCACGTATCACAGTGTGACAGCTCAACTCGCTGTGAGTTGAGCACAGAAGCAGCTACATCCCCCAATGGCGGGCGGGAGGTTTGAACTGAATGTGTCTGGCGTGCATGACGCTGGGCTTGACGGCACGTAGAGCATGTACGGAATAATGCATTGGATTGAGGATGTTCAAACGCGCTGAGAGGATGAGAATCCCCACATGTCGAGCAGCGGCGCATGAAAGAGTATATTAATGAATACACAGGTTGTAATGAACGTAGTACACAGGTTGTAATGAACGTAGATAAGAGTATAAAGAATGTAAATACAGTAGAGAACACCTGTAAAGAAAAGAATGAAGATTATCTATCAGAGTTGTACAGGCCGCAGAGCCGGCTGTTAATCTCAACCATAAATTTGATGGGGTGCACGTGATATCACGTGAGGTCACGTTACAGCGTTTTTTGCACGGAAAAGTTGGTTTTTCTTTAATATATAGAGAGATAATATATAAACATACATACAAACATACAAACGTATAACTAAAATTGAATCGGGAACAAAATGAAGTTAGAAACTGCTAAAACATCGAATTTCTCATATTTATTACAAGCAGAACTTAGGCCCCATTTCCCACCAACACCAATATGAGGGTTCACCAACCGGCCAACACTGGAACGGCGGACACCTCGGACTCTATCTGCGCTTGGAATTCAGTTACAGATTACAATGCGTTCATCTATCTATTATTCTTCTAGTTCTACAAAATAAAATCCAGGAAAATGATATAAACGCAATATCTATCCGTCGAACCATTTCATGTAAACCGAGCTCCCCTGGGCTTGAAAACGCACACCACCTCTTTAACGGAGGAAAGGTCCTTTTCGATAGGGCCAAGACTGCTCTCATCTCTCTTTTTGACCACCCATTGCACAGCTCCCATTAGCCAATAGCCAACTCATTCCACTAAACATCACATCCCACAAACTATCCCCCGTACCTCCTCTTCATAGTTTCTCAGGCCTGAACACCGCCTTATCATGTACACAACTAGCACAAACCTTCCCATCCAGCGTCAACAGATTCCCCGTGAAATTAACAAATTTCTTCCCCGCCGCCACCAAGTGAACCACAACCCTCACCGTCGTACCCACAGGCACAGGCCTCAGGAACGTCATTGTCAACGTCCGACTGAGCGTCCCTAGCGCCAGGTCATTGTCCGGTAGGGAAAACGCCGCTGTCGACGTTAGAACGTCTAGGATCGTCGTTGTGCAGCCGCCATGCAATATCCCCAGCGGATTGCACATATTTTCTGTTACTGTGAATTCGAATTCGACGGTACCCGGTTCGACTTTCACAAGTTTGATGGCCTTCATGCATGACACATCCCAACTGGAGTTTTGGGGGTAGGCGGAGGCGATGTTGAGGAAGGACTGGACCCTTTCCCAGGGGGTGTCTTCGTTGCTGCTGACCATCTTTTGGAGGTTCGTAACGAACGAACGTGCGTGTGAGGGGTTATGTACAGGGTCGTATGAGAGGTACGGGGAAACGAGTGTGGATGTGATTAAATGTAGAATTCAGAGCTCTTCGCTTGTATAATACATCGCTTGCTTCCCTTGTGATATAACGGTAAGCGCGGCAGCCGACTTGGCGGGAGTTAAGGCGGGATACGACGTATCTAGTCGCAGGATAGAGGTTGAGTAAAGGGCCAAGTTTCTATTATTTGTTCAGCATATAGAGATTCTTTATAAATGTCCCAAGGTCTAAGAAATCAAGTCAGTGTCAGTGGGTGAACGGGTCTGTCAGTTTATGTGGGTATTCGTTTGAGCCCATTTTGATTCAACCGAGGTAGTTTTGCTCTCTGGATAAATATCCTCCAGCAAGGATAACGTTATAAGCATGGCCGAAGCGTCCTGAAAAAAAGAAAAGTGGATTCAGGTCCGCATATATCAACGCTGCTGGGCTGTGGAGCGATATAAACCAACGCTCCAATAAAAGAAAACATCAGATGTGCGGGGAGATTCAGCTGAGTAAGCGCCACAGAGTTGTTTAACTTTAGCCGACTGCCGCGTGGGATTGTCAACGACAATGTTGATGGTGATGGTGATATCAAAGAAAAAGAGGGGATAACTAGATTAATTTGAGGAATTATATTCATATGTCCTGCTCACCTACAAACCCTGTTCGGTGGTTGCTCCATCAATAAAGCAATCCAACATAAATTGCCAGTTCACCATGAATAACCATTTGTAACGGTGTTCTTAAAGGAGGCAAAGGATATCAAATATGCTATACTTTATCTAATTGCACTTTAACATTTTGCCAATAGCAAGAGAATTCATGAACCATTGGAGAAAGGGTCCTTAAGTGCCTCTTCTGAACATTTGAATAGCCACAGCAATAATCTGATAAAGCTGATGCATCGTCTTAGCTGTGTGGGACTTAGCTGCGCGGGCGAACTGGGAGAAATCGACCCACAAAGAAAGAGCAGATCCAGCCATAATAAACTTCCTGTCAGTTGGCGGAGACCTTCAGGACCATGACTGTGGAAGTACATAGTGTAGAACACCTGGATGATATGGTTCGAGTGAGAGTACTCCGTAGTTCCAGAGAGGCGTTCACACTTACACCGTCAACCACGTCCCCTTCCCGTCATTAGGAGCCTTTATTTATTTACAATAAGGCTCCTTGGTTTTGGAGTGTTATGTTAAACCCTCAAGAGCAGCCTTTTTTCCGCGTTCGACCTGGAAAGCAACCTTAGCACTACAGACGATGCAGGAGCCTTGTTGGCAAGGTATACCGAGCGTACTTGGTATTCGTTTTATCAGTCTCAGCCTAGTATAGAGACAGCATTGGTCCCGTTTTGAACTGTAGTTTGAGGCGTTTTTTATGTCTGGTTTGTGGGCTGAACAATGATAGATAGGTGACAACAACAGAGGGGTCACACAGGCTTATTTAGTTAAATAACTAAATCCCCGGCCATAGTATAGAAGCCCTTTTCAATAACTGCACCCATCCATTCAATACGACAGCCTGTCTGATAATTTTGCTGCATTTTTAATTTTATTCTCATTGTTACCTGGTTTTCTTGTAGCTATTTAACGAAATGAGACAAAAGCTAGGTTTAAATACTGCCGCCAAGATGAATCGCTCTGTGGACATTCCTCAACCAACCTCCAACCACACAGTTGTACCGAAGGCAGGCTGGCTTTTGGGACTGGGCTATATCAACAGGCCAACTACAATCGAAGGACGTGAGGATTAGCAGTCGCCTCTCTCCGTCGAAACGGCTCCAAAAGTCAAAACGTGAAAATGAGTTCGCCCGGCAAGGAACCACATACCAGGACAAGGGGATCTTATACGCGCTCTCAAAACGCGCAGACTTCGACATGGACATTGCGGGCCATCCTGAAACTTACGACGTTCTTGGCTGCCTGTGTTGCTTTTGCATTGGGTGTGATTTTGCGTGTTCAAGATTCTCCGAATGGGTTGCGCCTCTACAGGTGGAGGGCAAGCAATTGGGAACATCGCCGGGGAAAGGTTAAGGAAGCATTTGTGAGTAGCTGGGATGCTTACACAAAATATGCCTGGGGTTCGTTATATCATGTTATTCTTTGTCAATGAGTGTAAACTTCTAAGCAAAAATGCATGGGCTAACTAGCAATTACGCATTCCTCATCCTCGCGCTCCATCAGGCCAAGACCAGTTTCACCCAATCTCCCAAAAAGGCTCGCAGATGAGCCCAAAGGGCCTGGGATGGATTATCGTTGATAGCCTGGACACTATGATGATTATGAACCTAACCTCTCAGCTGGGAGAAGCTCGTAAATGGATCCAGCGTGAACTTACATATGATCAAGATCAAGACGTCAACACGTTCGAAACGACAATTCGCATGCTAGGTGGCCTTCTCTCTGCACACTATCTTGCAGGCCAACTCCCAGACGTCGCCTCTCAACGAGACTTCATCTACTTGTCAAAGGCGATTGACCTTGCAGATCGACTACTCGGTGCATACGAATCCCCATCCGGGATCCCGTATGCAAGTATCCACCTGGAGACCAAAAAGGGAATTGTATCGCATACTGATGGCGGATCTTCCTCGATGGCAGAAGCTGCGACTCTCCAGCTAGAAATGAAATATCTCGCCAACCTAACTGGGAATGAAGTCTACTGGCGCAAGGCGGAGAAAATCATGCAAGTGCTTGATGACAACGGCATGCAAGATGGCCTTCTCCCCATTTTTGTAGACCCGCAAAGCGGCCACTTTACAACTCAAGAAATCCGACTCGGGAGTCGTGGCGATTCATACTACGGTATTTCAGACAGTTATCCAAGCACACTCTAGAAGAACCCCAGGCACTAACCACACATCGACCTATTGACAGAATATCTCCTAAAGCAGTATCTGCAGACATCCGAACCCATTTATCTCGAGATGTGGTCTGAAGCTCTAGCCGGAATCCGAAAGCACATGGTCACCAAGACAAAATTCTCAAACCTGCATTTCGTCGCTGAGTTACCCTCCGGAATTGGAGGCAAATTATCCCCAAAGATGGACCATCTCGTCTGCTTCTTGCCAGGCACGATTGCACTAGGCGTAACCGGCGGACTCACGGTATCTGAAGCGAAAGAGATCCATGGCTGGAGCGACAAGAAGGAGAAGCAGATGAACCTTGCCAAAGAACTCATGAAAACATGCTGGGGCATGTACAAAGTCACGAGTACAGGGCTGGCTCCCGAGATCGCCTGGTTCAATGCGCACGATGCGGACCTGCAACCTGTTCCCGGGGAAAAGAAATCTCCTCTACCTCCGAGCAGAGACTCCATCTCCGCCTGGAAACAAGATTACATTGTCAATCCACTTGATGCGCACAATCTACAGCGCCCGGAGACGATAGAGAGTCTCTTTATGATGTGGCGCATAACTGAGGACCCCATCTACCGGCAATGGGGATGGGAGATATTCGAGGCGTTTGAGAAATATACCATCCCGCCGCATGGAGAAGGGTATGTGTCTTTGGACAATGTAAATAGTATCCCGCCTAAGGTTAGAGATAACATGGAGAGTTTTTGGCTGGTAAGTTGAACAGTTATTTATTCCTTCAAACAACAGACGCACCCACCCCCTGGGGAGAACTTAAAAGCAAAAACGTAGCTGGATTACTAACGTCTGTCTAGGCCGAGACTCTAAAATATCTCTACCTCCTATTTTCGCCAACCGACCTCCTCCCACTCACAGATGTAGTATTCAACACAGAAGCCCATGTTTTCCCTCGGATTAACGCCACAAAGTTTCAAACAGGTTGGACAAGGAAGCCGAGATAGCCTTGAATTGGGTGGACTATTTGGTTAAGCCTCATCCTATTATTATACTTCGCATATCACTATTAAGTTTATGGGGATATAAAAAGAATCTACAGCCTGGCTATGCATGAGCAACGGTTACGTTTTTTCTTCTGGGAGGACTGACTGGGTTGTATATAATTGTATGTATATAACTTTCCGCTAGCTTCCGATTTGGTCTATTTCATATATCGTTTCTCTGATTCAGAAAGCTGAATGGCCAGGAATTGTATGTGACTTGGCGACCTGATGAATATGGATCAAAAGGATCATAAGAAATCAAAGGCAGGTTGGTGATAGTAATGGCGATGAAGATAAGGGTAAGAAAAACCAACCAAGCATGGTAAAATGTAAGAGAGAAAAGGGAGAGAGAAGAGGTTTTAACCACATCAACAAAGAAGGTTCATCCCGCATGTCAATTTGTAGATGGCAGCTACCAAAACAGGTATCCCGAAAACAAAAATGTAGCATAGATATATATACCTATATAGATAAGACACATTATCCCGGACCTAAACATAAGCATCAACATAATAAAAAATAAAAAAGCACCCGATAATTCTCTGCAAAATTAGGAGGGAAAAGGAAACGAATAGTAACGAACCACACCCCATGGAAATTTTTGCCACTGTAAAAAGAGCAAACGGACGATATCATCAAAGGTTCACACAAAAAGACCAAAAAACAGTGATGAAAGAGCAAATGAATTCTACTTGAAGCCCTACAAACAGAAGGGACGTGAGGAAAAAGGGTATTATTTCTTGGGCCACCATCCCTAAATTCTTTGGTCGGCTCCCAAAAAAAAAAAAAAAAAAAAAAAAAAAAAAAAAAAAAAAAAAAAAAAAAAAAAAGAGAGAGAGAGAGAGAGAGAGAGAGTGAGGAAGAAAAGATAACGCCGAGATGGGCTGACAAGGAAGAACAGTATGGTAATTTCAGGAACGGAAAATGAAGAGGGAGATGTTGCTGCATCATCTCCCTCCATCTTGAAGCTAGAAACCAGGGGTAACCAATAAAAGGTAGATGAACAAGGGAGAGGGGGAAACAAAGAAGAGTAGGAAGCAAGGCCTTCTAGCCAGCTGCTACCCACCCATCTCCCTTTTGCCCACAACCACGAAATTATTTCTACTCTGCCTTCGTGGTAGCCTCACTAGTCGACGACTTCTGCGTAGGGCCCGACAGATCCACGACCGTAAAAGGGTCGCAATGAGCCGACTCATCAAGATTGAGCGGGGAAATTGCTGGCTCGTGGGTGTGGTAGTTTACCTGTAGTTTGTCGGCGGCGGTGAGGGTTGGTGAGGATATGGGCTGGCTTGTTGTCTGTGCATCCATTGCAGACATGGATATGGCTGTTGATGGTACGAAGGAGTCCTTGTTTTGCGACGGTAATGTTGGTAGTGGCTCGGATGGGGGAGGGCTGTTTTTCGCTGTAGTAGCAACGGCATCGATATTGGTATTAGAATTATTGTTATCGTTATCGTTCACGTCATTAGTAGTATCGCGTTCCTTGATCTTCAAATCTCGGCTTGTTCGCTGGCTCCGCGCTGTATTATTATGATTAACATTATTTTGAATATCCGGGTCAAAGGTGTGATTGCCGCTACTCCTCCATAACAAGTTGCTCCATGCCTTCTTGTGGCTAAGGTTCGTGCTCGCGCTGGACACGGAGCCACTAGGGTGATGCGTGCGGCCTTGAATCTCCTCTGAGCCCCTTCCAGGCAAGTGACTCGGATCGTCTGAGTTCGTTTTAGGAGTGATGGTCAAGCTCTGGGGCGAAACCACTGCAGTAGGCGATGACACCGGGCTGTTGCTCCCGCTGGCTTTCTTCTCCTGCCATTCCTTTCGTCGATCGTTTGCCCAGGCGCCCCAGGAACTAAAATAGGAAGATGCACGTTGTCCCGCGGCAGCGACAGTTGCCTGCGCCTGGGAAATGTCAACTACCGGCGCTTTTCGGGGGCCAAATGTCCATGATCCTGCACCGGGAGAGTTTGCAATCGTTGAAGTCGACGTCCGGGGAGATGCTACTGAGTTAGTGTCCGCTGACGCAGAAACTTCTTCGGAGTATCTCCGCTGTTGTTCGTTCTTCTTACGCTGGTTTATGTCA